AAGCCGCAGCCGAGCGAGGCTAAGGCCTCCCCCAGCGGCCGAAATAGCTCAGTTGGGAGAGCGTTAGACTGAAGATCTAAAGGTCCCTGGTTCGATCCCGGGTTTCGGCAAGTGCGGCGCTTCCCTTTTTTCACTGCAAAAATAAATAAAACCCGCAGGAATGAGTAAAAGCCGAGGTGCTTGAGAGCGCTTTATCGGTCATTTATTCCCTCTTCAACCCTCTCCCTAACCCCACCCCACCCCTGGAAAAGAGCAGCACAGCAGGAACCACTGCTCTTAAGAGCAGGGGGAGCAGTTTCTGACACCCCCAGCAGCCAAAAAGGCTTTTAAACATTTTACATCTTTAAGTGTCTCCCCACCCTGTCAAGTCGTAGCCTTGGCCAAAGGGCACGAGCCAAGGCTCAGGTTTTGTCTTAGCAAATCACCCAAATGTGGCTGTTCTGTGGCTAAGGATTCCAAGGGGATATTGAGACTCAATACTGCAGTGTAACTGCAATTAAATGATATCCAATTAGCATATCAGAGTCAATATACCATTTTATACTTTTCTCATCTAATTCTCATTAAAATTTTAATTTTACTACTTGTAAATCAAATCGCATTCTTGCCGGACAAGTCAACAGATCAGCATTTGACTGTAGTATATGCAAATACCGTCGCTGTCACTTTTCCATTAAATAGTTATAAATTGCACTGCAGGTTTGCTAGAAGTAATTATCTGCAATGTACCACTAGCAAAAGCCCAGGAGGGAATAATGCTGGAATAAATTGGACAATATAGAATGGAGAGCTACGGTATCAATAAATTCAATATTTTAAAAAGTAGCATTCAAGATGGTTTAACCTTTAAGCGTAAATATGAAGCTTTTTGTTTTAAGCATGAATTGGATTCCTCCACCGAATTTCAGTTGTCCCATCAAAACCAAAAACCACAAAATCCTTTGTGACTTGGGTTTCATCACTAGGTACCAGTTTTATTTCCCATTTTTAAGTACAGGTAGAATAAGAACAATCCACCCTTTGAAAAGATCTCCAGACAGCATATCCAGTAGCAGTAAAGTTACCAAGGAATACGTGGCTACATAAATTACCAACACGTGTTTGATGACTGCTGACCTTCGTCTGTCAGAGCTATTTGGCCACAAATAAAAATAAAATAAAAAAATAAAAACCACAAAATAAAACTTAATACAAGAGTTACATCATGTAGTTTTGCAAAACCTTTGCTGTTTTCCTCTTGTTTCAAGCACAGCAAGGGGGTGACCATAACTGGCTGGCAGTTACAGTGTCATAGTGTTACTACAGATTTATAGACTGTCTTTTACATTGGCTTTTACATAAAGTTCAGCATGGCAAGACTGAGGAAAGTAAAATGCAGCCCCACTAGGCAAAGTTTAGAGCAAGGACTGAACATACAATTGTATTTGCTCTTAAAGTAATGCAGCCTTATAATGGATTTGTTACATCTTTTGAAGGTTATTTACATACTGATGTAAAAAAAGTAAAAATTACACATTTTATACAGGTAACCACTTCTCCATTATATACATCCAGTGCCACTATAGACTTGGGAAGTGCCTACCACTACTTATTTGCTCTCTTCAGATGCTAGTTCAGTCTCCCGCTTCCTTCTTTCTAAAATTTCTTCATCAAATATTTCTCTCTCCCTGAAAAGAAAAATATATATAAGTTTTACACAGTGAAAATAACCCAATGATGTTAAGAAGGGTGTAGTGTGTTAATATAACTCAGCAAGAATCTTCCCATGTTTAATTACTTCACAAAGGGAATGTTCATCTTGCAGAGAAAGGGAAGATACTGACCTCAAAGGGCACCTCTTTCTCGTACTTTTATGAACAGCAAATGAAAATACCAAAAATAAAAGATACCTTTTGCTCACAGACGGCCCTTTTATGTATTTCTCTTCTGCCTTCTTGTAGTCTATGTCATCCACAGCAGAAATCGCATAAATGATGGCCTATAAGAGGACTTTTAGTTTATTGATACAGTGAAACAAAGACTAAATTACAACTACAATTGTTTGAAATGGTTTCAGCAGGTAAGGAAATTTTTGGAGCAAGATTCTTCAACCAGGTTAGAAAATCTGCATGAAACTTCTCCCTGTGCACTTACAGCTCTCCAACGCAAACAAGTAGAAACTTTTCACATATTCAGGAGAACATTTTTACAGTCAGATTGTGTTCTTAATAATCTTATTTCTACAAAAAAAACTCACCTAGGTCTTACCAAAGGCAGTAAGTCTGCAAAAGTATAATTAAAAAGACAAACAAGGACCCACAAACCCCCACAGAAATAACTTGCTAAAAATAACCCTACCAAAAGTTTCAGAACTCACAATCAAAGCATATGAGAAAGCAGTCAGTTCCTCTTTAAAACAACATACTGCCTAAAGCTTGACAGACACTTGACTTTAAGAGTCTATGCCTCAAATTGGTGGGTAGACCTCAATACACACCTGTCCTGCACACACATCACTCAATTCCTGAAGACAGGGACTCAGCAAAGGTTATTTACTAATAATTTACTACTGTTATTTACTTACTTCAGGCAAAAGGACATCTGAAATAAACTTTATTCCATCTCCGTTTATTTGATGCAGATTTCTGGTGTCTATTTCATGATACACTTGCTTCAAGTAGTTTACTACAAGATCTAATTGCTCTTCATCCTCTAAATAAGTTTCAACGCAGGTCACGTACTGACCGGAATTCAGGAATTCTTTCAGCCACCGGGATTGTTTTCTGCTTTTCAAAATAGCCAGGAGATGCTCTTCTGCTCCCTTGCTTTTCACTATAAACTCCACTATCTTTTCATTAGCCTTATCTCTGGCAGCCCTTGTTCTGTCAGGAAGCAGTTTCTTGGAGGGCTTGCTAGGTGAAGTTTCTGGTGAAGATTCTTCAAGCTCTTCTGCCTCATTTGTGAAGGGCATTTGGACTAAACCTTGAATACCTTCCTTTCTAACTGGATAACCTGAAAGAAAAGCCACAATCATATGCATTTACATACATGTAAAATATGGAACTTTCTTGAGAGGGAGAGTTTTTTTCCTCCCTCCACTATAGAGAAAGAAATATATAGACCTGGCCTTAAAAAGCACTAGGGAATGAAAATTGTGAAAGAAGCTCTGAAATGAGCTCACTGCAAACTGAAACAACCAATTACTTGATTTAATTCAAACCTCATTTAACAATCAATGTTTACCTAACTTTTAGGGGTTTTTTTGTTGCTGTGGAATGAAAATCCTATAATATAATAATGACATGTAGTAATTTGAACAGTATCTGCTCACTGTGTCTAATATGTATCAGCACACATTCGTCAGCTTATTTACTAAAAGGAGAATACAAAAGATAACCTCCCCATGAATTGATCACTTACTGATATCATCAGCAAAATATTCCAGGAAGGATCCCGTAAAAGAATGACAACCTAAAAAGCCCAAAACAGGTTTATCAGCTTAGCTAAGTCCTTGCAACAAAATTGACAGGCTTAATGTTACCATCTTTTTTTCTCCTCATCTATATCAGACAGGATGATGTTGTCTAACTCATGTGCTTACATACTCTAATCCGATAGTCAGAAATCAATCGAATGCACCACTCGATTTCTCGGCAGTAAGCTTCTTTGGCTCGATCCTAAAATACAAGTTATTTGCATCAAAAAGAATAACACACGGAGGTTTTAGGTCTAGGACACTAAGAGGAAACAGCAGTTAGCTACACCACGCTCCTCTGGTAGTGAGAGTTGTGTATTCTATAAACACTTCCCTCTCTCTGCCCCAAGGTTTGTACACACTCGTATGTGTATCGCACTGGCAGTACTTACTATTAAGTCCTGCTTTTCTTCACAGTCAAAGTGTTTGAGATTCCTAAGAGGCACTGAAAAGCTTAATGGAACGAGGAAATTCAGTTAGTGAATAAACACAGACATACAAGTCAACTCCTTTATTTCCTGCAATTCTACATCTCCCTGAAAATTAGGTTTCACAAGCAAGGCAACAATGGAGTTGCCAGTAGTGTTAGTACTGGCGACAAGCTAAGACTCAGGATTTTTTTAATAGAATGATAAGTAGCTGTTTAAAAAAAAAAAAAATCCACCACACACACAGAGGCAGGTGCACATTTTCTGTTTACTGTGTTCTCAGAAAGTTTGGCCACCACACAAATGAAGTATGCAGATCCCAGGCCTTTTGCTACTGCTCATATAAAGGACAATTTTGCACAAATGCCAGCTTATCCCAACTAGCAGCATGGTGAAGGGAGCAGCCCACACGTGCAAATCCCAGCTTTAAGACAACTCACTTGGTACCAAGAAG